CCCCAAAACCCCAAAACCCCAAAACCCCAAAACCCCTTCATGAGACCAAAGGGTTGAAACTATCTTAAACCAACTTTTTTAATAAAATGGTGAAGGAAAAGTCATGGTTATACTCTGGATGTGAACTTATAAGCATTGAAGCTACCCTCATTGGTGAAGTAATCCATAATCATGTCTTGCAGAGTGGAGCTGTCGTAGTTGAAGTTGGTCTTCCCTCTCATTCCGTTGAGTCCGATTGAATACAAGTCATGCATAATAGCAGCTTCCTTCTCACATTTGAAGGTTCCAATGTACTTCTTCTTGCTGCCAACGTTGATGAGGACCTGCCAGCGATTCCTATTACCAAGCAATCCGATGTACTGAGATCTTCTTGTGGAAGTACCGTTGTGGAGACCTCTTGAGCTCTTTGCAGTTGCTCTGAAGCTCACTTGTTGATCTTTGGAAATCATCTGGAGGATCATACGGAGATTTTGAGAAATATCAGGAAGAGTATTCTTTGTAATTTTCTTTCTCACAATCTTTGAAGGAGGGATTGAGCTTCCCTCGCTAGGCGAGCTGAAATTTTTTGAGAGGTTCTCATGACTCTTCATGCTTCTTTGAGACATGAGAGATTGACTTGGTGATGTTGACTCATCTCAGCCCCAACAATACTTGTCACAGATTTCTCCAAGTGTTCTCTCTAAGGCATCATAATACGTCTATACAACATTAAATTCAGACAAAGTTTGAGGTCTTTGGACTTACCATTGGCAGAGTTTGGGCTTTGAAGGTATTCATAGCATTTATTTGAAACATATTTTTATTAAATTTGCCAAAAATTAGTAGCTTTATATATTATCAAGAAACTAAGTATCCTTTACATGAAAAGTTCGGTAATATGGTTAGGGTTCAATTTTTTGTTAGTCACTCCCCAGCCTGTAAAAATCGAAATATTATATGCTAATTCTTAGCTATTAGCTATGTTGAATTTTTAATTTGGTTCTCGATGCTGTAAAAGTAAGCTTATACTATCAATTTTCACCTGTAGAGATTTCTCTCAATAACTATACATAATTAATGCTATAAATACCCATGAATTGTGTTTAGAAAGCAGAGGAAAAGTTTGATGTGAATTAAATATTTCAAAACTTAAATTAAATAGCTCTGAGGTCATCTGAATAATCTCAGAGCATCTTTTCGGCATAAAATAAACTTTTTATAGCGAAATACCTCTTAAGCTAAGTTAAGGTATATCTCATGCCAAGAGTGGGTGTTGTAAGTGACCCGAGTGCTCGGACAGTCATAAAGCTCACTGTATTCTACAATTATGAGCTCCAAATTAATTATTCTCAGTATATCTGCTTCAAACTCCGAATGTTAACATCTCCAACTATTTTGAAATGAGATGAAAAGTTCATAAGAGCTTAAATGGAGAAGAACTCTACTAAATGAAAGCGATTACTTTTCTAAATGAGTGTAATTTTAGTGAGTATTTTCTCAGAATTTGTAGAGATAGACTCTCTAAACCCAAGCTTTAGTAAATATCCCTCAAGACCCTCTCAGCCAAGGGATCCTTTCATGTAAGTTAGTGAATAGGTATTAAATAAACATCTTCGGTTGCTAAGTTTTTATACATTATTAATAAGAAGTAAGACTTCGAAGAAATGAGGGCTGTATTTCTATTAATAGGCAATAAACTTCTACACTTTAACATAACTTTCTTTCTCTTACAATAAGCATTAGCATAAGCTTGAGAGTTCTTCTTCTTGATTTTAGGCATAAAAATCAATATTTTTAAGGTTATAGTAAGGTCAGCTTGAAAATATTCTTGAAAATGACAAAATTATTTCAATTGAAGTGTTTTATTGTATCTATTACCTAATCCTTGGAGTCTTAGCCTTGCTAATTTATTGTTCAGGAATTTAAGAAGCCTCTATATAGCTCTATGAATGCTCTGGGTAGCCTGGCTAAGCTTAGGTTTATGGGAATTTTAGAGATTACTAATATTCATCAAGATTTATTCTAGAGATTAAGTCTATACTGAACAAGAACAACAACATCGAAGTCACCACTATAATCGACTCAAACGAAGAGTCTCTCCAAGAATTTTTAATAAAAGTTATTTCAGGTACTTCAGCGACAAGGCTTATGATGTCTCTTATAGATATCAGACAATGGTCTTGTTAGGTCACCAATGAAGAAATTCTTCAAATTTTATTACTTAAACCCTGCTAGATTTCTTCAAGATTGCTAAGTTATGAACAAATTAGGGTTTGATAGGAAAGAACAGATCTCTCTAATTTCAGCTAATTTCCAATACCAGTGATAATAGTTGACAGCCAGAACTAAGAAAGTTCATGCTTACACTTGGTAGGATAAGTCCAAGCTCTAGATAGGTAACTTTACACCGTTTTATAGCATAAATTTGCATCTAAACCTCTTTTAGGTCACCAGGTCTAGCACAATCAGGCTCAATCTTTTTAGTAGCACTCTGAATAATTGAGAGAACCCTGGAGTCCTAATTTCATTGAAAGTATAGTAAAACTAGAAGGCTTGTGAAGAGACTTGGCATTTTCCTTGATTCATAAAGATGAGAGATATGAAGAAATATAGTCTAACTTGCTTACTCAAGATTTCTAAGTTAAAGTTCAGCTGATATCTCTGGGTTGATTTCCACTTCCCCTGCTTTTGGGCAGAGAAGTTTATAGAAAACATTTCTTAGAGGTATCAAGTCAAGTGAGGACATCACCCGAAGAATTATCTAAGAGTGGTAGGCTAAAGATAGCACCACTACAGAGAATCAGCAACATCACAAGTTTATTTATGATATTTTAGCAATCGGGAGTTGATAATCATTAAATAGTTCAGACCTATTTTCCTCAGCTAATATTCGAATTTTTATGACTAAGAAATCCTAATTTTTTGATAACCTATGAGAATCAGAGACAATATTATTGATTAATTTTACTCCAAATAGGATCAAAAATGTCCAACTTATTAATTTCCTCAGCCAGAATCTGTCTATCTTATAAAGGCTTGCATGAACTTTTTACCATCATGAGCTCTTTATTCACCATGATTGCCACTACTATTTCAATAGTTTTTTGACTCTCTGGGGTTTTGGGGTTTTGGGGTTTTGGGGTTTTGGGGTTTTGGGG